TATGAGGTGAAGAGGAGCATTACCTTGAACTGGATTTGCGATACAGCGCAGTAGTGCTGAGTGAACCCGGTAAACTAGAACGAGTATTTTCGGACGGACAACCAGACAATGCAACCGGTAATATGGTCGGAGGTGGTTGTGACGGAATGAACTGTGGTATCGTTTTCGGGGGCAAAGGGGGTGGTGGAACGGATGTGATCAGTGTCGGCAGTACGAGCCCAGGGAGAATTGGTCGAGTTGAACTAGCATTAGGCAATTGTGGCTGATACCAACATGGCATAAACTGGCCGGTCTGTGAGTATGGTGAGAAGTACGGGAATTGCATTTGACAGGGAGCGACACCTAGACCCGGAGGATAATAGTTAAATCCACTAAACGGAGCTCCATTTGGAAGAATCGTTGGAACATTGGAAAAACTGGAATAGGCCGTCGGTAGGGTGCTGGCTGTCGGAACGGGTGGATGGTAAATACTGTTGTTTGCTGAAGTACACACTGGATTCGTGTTTTGAAAGTGAGACCCGACGACTGACGTCACACCAGTAGTACCGGCAACAGAACCAGACGTATCTTCTGGCTTCAAAACATAGACTGGCGTACTTGTAGGTAACTTCGATAACTCAGATGGAGTAATATAAATGAGTTGCTTGTCCGGTGGTACCGTTGGAGAGGTCATCTAGAAAATACAACTTTGGATGTTAACAAAAACGTTAAGAATACAAGCGTGGTCAGGATGAAAATTCGTCTGGCACAATCGTTTAAACTGATGTGAAGACAGAGAAGACCACGGTTGAAAACGAAACAAGATGCCTCGCATCCGCCAACCAGTGGTCGGTCCACCCTAACAGCTTTCGACGCTTAATAAAAGACCATTCTTATCATGGCCTCTTGTGATGGGGCGATGGTCACTGTATTTGTACACTGCCGTTGCTGGTATCTATAATCGTGTACTAAAGGCACACCGGTTCTAGTTGCTACAGTTTCGATCACCGGGAAGTGGAAGAGTGTGGGGCATACAGCCAAGTCTTGGTAGTAATATCATGTTTGGTTAGTTCGAGGACAGAGTAGCCACGCAGTGAATGAGATGACTTTGATTCACAAGCACCACTAACTGCACAATTGGGCCATTCACGACAGTGTCATTAACCACTGGTGACCTGAGTCCCGAGGTCCGCATCCAGGGCGACGGTGGTTATTGACTTGACTTATAAGTCTACTGTTTAGTGCTCTCATACTTCGTTGCAAGGTCATACACCCTCCACCTTTCAGTTGCTTCCACACAACACAACGCTGGGCGAAAAGGCCCCTGAGGGGCAGACGGTCTTCTGGCATGCGGAGTACATGTTCGAACCAGCGTAACCTATGAAGCGGTAAATTTCCTTCTTCTTAAGACCATCTGGAGTTTCTTGGCACCACTAATCCGACATTTTCACCAGACCCGACTAATGTTTCGGAGACAAAGATGGTCAAACAGTGACATCTTCCGTATATCCTCTGCGCGTCTCTGATCCATAAAACAGTATGGACCGCTGCAAACAGACAAACTGACTGCACTTCGGCATCATAGGTGTCGAAGGTTGGCACGCGCCGCCCGGGAATTCCCGTTTAGAAATAAATGTCGTATAAAGCCGGTCCGCTGGAACTCATACAACTGCCCGGACAAGCAAATTTATCACGGATTCATACACAGGATCAAGGCTTTTACCCAAGTTTCTCGGGTCGCTTTTGTTCTTGTCGGTCAGTGGCTGTCGTTCACCTGAAAGGCACAGGTGAAAAAAGGGTGTAGCACCGCTCTTTATGTTCTCAGTGCGGGGAAGTATGCTTGCCAGCGCGAGGATTCGCATAAATAAATGTCTAATAGTGCTTTAAACTGGGTTCTAGAAGGAGCGTGAACAACCGTCGGAGGAAGGTCATTCCACGCAGCTACTACCCGAAATGAGAAAAAATTTTGTCTAATGAATGTGTGTGCTTTGAGCTTGAAAATTTTCTTACTATGTCCCCGCTGGATGTTTGCCGCCTCAACGGTAAAAAACCTGTTTGCCCAGCTATGTTAAAACAGGCATAAGTAAGAATTGGGTACCCTCGGAGGCGAAGGAGATTAAGCATCGCGAGACGCGTTTCGTAGTCCACGGATTTGAGGCCGGCAACCATTCTCGTAGCGGCTCGCTAGGCACGCTCAATGAGGGTGACGTCTTTCGTGCGTCCTGAGTAGACAACTTGGTTGGCGTACTCCAGGAGCGGTCTGACTTA